ACAGAGAGGCAATGCCCAGCTGAAGGAAGAGCTGAAGGAGCAAAGGGAGAGCTCTCTCACAGTTTTACAGGCCCTAGAACAAGAACTGTTACCAGAGCCTGAAGCGTCTGAGAAGAAACTCCCAGAGAAAAAAAAAAAGAAAGAGCTACTCAGTCTAGAAAAGAGTCTGTCACTTCCTCGGATTGAGGAAGAAGAACGAGGAGAGGCGGGAGAAAGAGTCAACAACCAACTCCTTGTATCCTCACAATTTAACCTCTCAGCCGCCTCCACCATTGACAGCCGTATGCCAGAGTGTGGCACGGTGGCCCCCCCAGATCTGGCCCATACTTGGGTCACATGCTTGTGTTTCTTCTAGCCCATGATACACCTGGTTTCACGGCATGAGTCTGGCCCATATACAGCATGATGCAACTTCTACATCTGGGGCGCACAACAGCCGTAATCTGCCCGGATGTGGCAGTATGCGGGCCAGGCTTGGACCGAGTGTGGACCAAAAGTCCGACACCACTAACGGTCACTTTCTGCCACCAATTAGGCTCCGCCCACAAGACATGTCATCGCTGTTTACAAACACAAAAAAAGGTGTGTTACTGCTGACTGTGGCACACAAACATGTAGACTATAACTAGCTTATCCGGTTGGCTGAATCACCATCATGCTGGACTGGCAAACACACACACACATGCAGTGACACACACACACACACACACACACACAGTCTCCCACGCATTTACAACTCAGATTAGACTTTGTGTTTACTATCAATCTGACAGCTGCAATGAACATGCGTTAAGGCCCCTTCAGACTCAATAAGATACACGTCTTTCTCTATTGAACGCCTGTTGAGACAATTTTCTACAAGCTTCTGCTTATCTGCCTGCCGCCTCCCATCTTCCTCCCTCCTTCCATCTTCATTGCTTTTCCCTTCTCTCTCCCTATTTGTCCTCGTCCCTCAGAGGTGTGAATCCAGATTGAGTCATCCTCCCTCTCGTGTTTTTCTTTTCTTTTTCTTTTTTTTTCTACACACAGCCTCTTAATCTTTCCTTGCTGTGTCTTTTCCCCTCCTTTATAATTTTCATGTCACTGTGTGATTGTCTATGTGTAGAAGAATGTCGGATTCAGCCCGTGTGTGGTGGGACTAATATGTCCTGGTTGTCCCCTGGTTGAAGCTAGCATGTTTGTGTTTGTGTCCTTGTGTGTGTGTCTGTGTGTGTGTGTGTGTGTGCAATTGTGTACTTGTGCCTCTGCCGTGTTGACGTGAAAGGATTGTCAAAGACGTCATTGGGCACAGCAACAGCATGTTGCCAGGCCAATTGATCCCTTTGGCGGAATGAGCAGAGCAGGCGTTGAGGGTCGTATATTTGCGGGAAATTGCAGCATTTAGGGAATAAAGCTATTCATGTTAGCTCCAGAGGGAGGGACTTTGAATGCACTGTCATTAGAGAGCATAAATGGGCCTCCCCTGGGATTTGATCCTCTCACAGGCTGTTTAGGGGTTTATGGTGCCAATACTAAAATTGACATTTTTGAATTAAAGCTGAAAATAGCTACGAGTTCATGCTGATAACCTCTATCCAAAAGATATGAGGATTCCAGACGCCTGGACAATGCAGCTCTGTTGGTAAAGTATGAGTTTTGTAGGTGGCGTTCTTTCCTTAATCTGTTCAGCCATGATGGATATTATTAGATAGCTCGTGCTTAACATCCCTGTTTTTCTATTCAATGCTCTACTGAGATCCACATAAAAACATGGCCTGATAACCAGTGTAAATTGCCATTTTGTTTCACTTTATTATTCAGACTCTTATCGCATTCATGCACATTTCTGTTTGGGAGCCGGGGTTCTATTGTTTTGTTTTGCTCCGACCAGTCATTAGGGAGTTACATAACACAGAGCGGATGCTAGGAGCAGTCCAGTTTACAATCACAGTTAAACAAATATGGCAAGTTAAAGCTGCATTAATTGATTATCTGGCCACTTGGGGGGGGGGGCAGCGGAACAATCTATAAACACAACACTCATATATCATCACCCTTTAAAGTTGTTATGCTGAACGTTTTAACGGCATCTCCTATTTAACCTCCAGCAGACGCAGAGCAACATGTTTCATATTTATTCACTCGCCTTTTAGATCGATTTTGGTCTCCACCAACTTTTCAGAAAAAAATATCTGGATATTTAGCTGCTAAATACTCAACTCTATGAGGGACTCCTTTCCCATGGCACATTATCATTTGATCCATTCTTAATATAACATATTGACTAGTGCAAATTATTTCCGCGATAAGTCAACTTACATTAACCTGCACGGCTGTGTCCATCTCAGTAAAGCCCGTTAACGTTTTTGTTTCTTTTTTTTTTTTTTTTCAACGGATGCAGCTGTTTTTCTGGTTCAGGGAAGAAAAGTTTGTTTTGCAACTAGTATCAGGAAACAGCCATCAGTGAGTGCAGCAGCAGACCTTTTCAAATCACTGAAAAAACTGTTGATGTGTGCAGAGGTTCAGAGGTCTGGAATTGAATTGTCTGGACTAAGTAAACAGGTACATCAGGAGTCTATATTTTCCATCCATTTCTGTTTCTCTTTACACATCAAGCTCATCTTTATTGCAATACACGCATACCCTCCACATACGGCGTATGGGTGTGCGTGCACTCACATAAGCATCACCTTCTTTGAGGCAGCCAAAAAGAGAAGATGGCACAGAAGCCAGTTAATCTGTATTCGTGAGTGGATCTCATTGGTTCCACAGAGATTTGATTTATTTGCTAATCCATGAAAAAGAAACAGCCGGGGGTAAACTTCAGATAACCTCCACCAACTGAATAGCTACTCCCCCACAACACATTTCTGCCTCAGTTAAGATGAGCTGGCAGAGACCTGAGCGCCTCACTGGAAGACAGCATCCAACCTGGGGACCTATGGGTCGCCTGTCTTGCCGGCGTGAGCAGTGTTTATTTTGATTCTTTCAGATGGGATAAGTTTCCAACGCGTCGGCTCGCCTGGCTAGTCGCGCCTCTCGCTATCTTCCACAGGAAACTCTATTATCTGCTACATTTGGTTCTCTAATAGAAGGATAAAATCTCATCTGCCTCAGTCAGAGGCAAGATGCATTGCTACAGCAACTGTGCTGCGTATGTGTGTGTGTGTGTGTGAAAATAAACTCACTGCCTGTGGCACAAGTTGGTACTCTTGTGGTGTGTTGTCTTTGTTGATGCAGTCAGTTATTTACAGAGCTACCTGACTGGCCACGGTCAATTATTTAGAGGCAGTTAAACTTTTATTCTACACGTCTGCAGCTTGAGGCAGAGTGTCATGAATCTAACTCGTCTGTTTAGAGGTGGTCTCTTCACACTGACCCTCTCCCACAGGGGGAAAACAGCGCTACAGGTGTTTGTGCCACAACATGATCCTCCTCTTCACCGCTGGCCCTCAGCATCTGTCTGCATCCATCCTGCAGCAGTTAACCTTGTGAAACTGAACTGTGTGTGTGCGCACGTGTGTCCACGAGTGTAATTGTGTCTGTGCGAAGACAAGTGCTTGTTTAAGTAATGCATTTCTTTTAAACTGATGTAGAAATACAGTGAGATGAAACACAAAGGAGAAGTACGTTGGCCCAGATGGGTCAAAACAACGTAAAAGCATTTGTGTTGACCTGTCTGGGCCACCGTAGAGTCGCTTTCCTACACTCAAAACTCCTGAGTCACCTCTGCTTTGGTTCATTCGTGTCACTGCACAATTTAAATACAAACTCCTCTGTGGGAACGGACCACTTAACAGTTGCTCTTCCATGGAGGACACGCGCCGGGTGTTATTATAAACCTGCTAAAAGTCGAAGATATTTTCCGGCAGCTACAGAGAAAAGTCAAAGATGTTTGAATTGAACTGGACTGCAGTGAACACATGAACGCTCAAGCTGTGTCCCTTCTTTTCTCTCAAACAACTGAGAAGAGAGAAACGTAAATTTTTGTGTTTCAGCTTGATGAGATCACAGGCGACCTTTTCAAAACAACTTAATAAGAGAACGACCTCTCTCCTATTGATATCCTTTATTGCTCTTCCTCTGAGCTCTCGGCTCTCTTGCGGTGCCTCCCACTTGTCACGGGAAGTCCAAAATATTTGTGCAGTTTACAGTGACTTAGGGTTTTGTTGCCCCTCTCTCCATGACTCACTCGCCATAAAGCATGACAGGATGATATCTCAGCCACAAAACCGTCCCCGCACTCTTTCTGCAATTTAGAGGAGGATTTGTGGCCGCCTGGCTCGGCTGCGTCCTGGTGTCAAAGTGCGAGCGCTGTCAGACAGGGCTGTGAGTCAGCGATGGCGTCATGATGGCGCTGCAGTGGTCCTCATACGTGTGTGGTTAGGAGCCGGGGTAATGGGCCAATTTATGGATGAAATGCCAGCAATGTTACCAGGGGCTTTACTCACATATGGTGATTATGGAGGTAGAATAATATGAGTCATTATCAAACTGGAAAGACCTTTTGTAGCATGGACAATTATTCTGCAATGTATGACTTCTAAAAGTGTCCATTTCAACCAATCATTTAACAGATGACTCCACTTGTCCAATGCAGACATATGTGTTTAGTAAATAATGATAGCTTTCCAGACATTTACTAGCCTTTATATATATATATCTCTATATATCTCTATATATATCTCTATATATCTCTATATAGATATATAGAGATATATATCTTACCGTTATGGATCAGAGTAATATGTGCACATTTACATTTTTTAAGTGAAATCAGTTTTTTAAATAAATACAGGACTAAATGACTCTCGAAGATGGATTTTACTTTTTATTTTGACGCATAACTCCACATAAAGAGTAATTCCTTGTTTGTACCCATCCTCGGAGACCTGTGCTGCTGCTGCTGCTAAACACAAGTATTACTGTTGTTGCTGTTATTTGTCTAGCACCTCCTCACCTGTGTTCACCCTATCTCTCTCTCTCTCTCTCGCTGCCCTCCCTCCCTCCATCCCACTCAGAGAGGTGAAGCATCATGGGGAAACACAACAGCAAGCTGGCTCCGGAGGTCCTGGATGACCTGACCAAGAACACCGAATTCAACGAGGCAGAGCTCAAGCAGTGGTACAAAGGCTTCCTCAAAGACTGTCCGTCTGGCATTCTCAACCTGGAGGAGTTTCAGCAGCTCTATGTTAAGGTGAGGATGAGGAGGGGAGGGGGGGGGGGCATGAAGCAGAGGAAGTGAAATCATATTATTATATGATTGATTATACAGTAATACAAAGTTTCTTTACAGCTGGGTAACATTAGGTTTTACATAGCCTACAGCAAAAGCTGTGCTCTCGGTTTTTTTTTTCCATAGTTATATAAAAACCTTTTAAACCTTTTAAATGACTCACACCATTGTTAGGCTGCTACATAGAAAGTTTATGATACTGTGGCTACTGTGACTAATCGCCCGGTGTTTGGGGCAAAGAGAGGAGGGAGAGCCTGTGATACTGCCACCGTCTCTGTTGCCGTCTCACATTATTCTGGAGCTTTCTGAGATGGCGCAGCGTCAGAGAGAGGCTGACTGATTTTTCATGGATGCACAAAGGGGTTAAAGATATTTTTAAATCAGTTTTGCATATCCTCTCAGGCTCTTTGACTTCTCAGAAAACGACCGTGGCTTGTATCTGGTCATCTGCAGTGACAATGATGCCAAGAACTTTGTATAGTAACTTAAGTATGTAAATAAATCCAAAACCTGAAAGACAAAATCATAAAGAAAACAATTTACCATCATTTAGCCTTCAGATAAAATTAAGTTTTTAGGAGGGACTTAGAAGAGGATATAGACTTTGAATGTCTAAGATCCTCAGTTGAGGGGCCTGGACAACAGCAGAAGTCTTACAATCAGTTCTAGCAGTGAAGGGCAGCGAGGAGTGGTGGGATGTGATTTCTTCTCTTAGCACTGTACTGTACATACAGTGTATGAAACACAGGATATAAAAACATGCAAAAACTGTGTGTGCATGTTTCCCCTGCTGAGATCCACATAAAATTCACCACAATAATCAAGTGTGGTTGAGATAAAAGCATAAATACTCATGCTTAGTTTCTCATGAAAACTGTTGCACTTTGCCAAATCGCATCATGATATGAAGTATTACTTTTATAAGCAGGTATTTTTATATTGTAAAAGAGGTGGTCGAATGGTCAGTTTGTGCCTTTCAGAATAAAAGCTTTGCTCAATCAGCGTAGCATTTTGCAGGAATGTATATTGCCCCGTTCAAGCGTAGTTTAACAAATCATTATGCTGCTACAAATATTATGTCTTCATTTTCTTTTCAAGAGAAAGAATTGCTGCTTATGTTGTGTGCCTTGTTTTTTGTCACCTCAGTTTTTCCCATACGGTGATGCCTCCAAGTTCGCCCAACATGCGTTTCGGACATTTGACAAGAACGGTGACGGGACCATCGACTTCAGAGAGTTCATTTGTGCCCTGTCCATCACCTCCAGGGGCAGCTTCGAGCAGAAACTCAACTGGGCCTTCAACATGTACGATCTGGACGGGGATGGAAAGATCACGCGCATGGAGATGCTTGAGATCATAGAGGTGTGTTTGTGTTTTATTTAGTAGGAAATCCTCTCCGGTGATTCCACATTTTAAGAACATTTCTTTTCCCTTCCCTCCTCCGCAGGCCATCTACAAGATGGTGGGCACAGTGATCATGATGCGTATGAACGAGGACGGGCTGACCCCTCAGCAGCGCGTGGACAAAATCTTCTCCAAGATGGACAAGGACCACAACGATGAAATCACCCTGGAAGAGTTCAAAGAGGCCGCCAAGTCTGATCCTTCCATCGTCCTACTGCTGCAGTGTGACATGCAGAAGTAGAGAGGGATGGGTGGAGATACAGAGGGAGGGAGGGGAGGGACGGGGGAAAGAGTTGAACTGAAACAAGAGAAGGAAAAAGGATATGAGAACAGAGAGGCAGGAGATGAAGGGGGGGGGTACAGTTAAAGGGAGGAGGAGGAGACAGGTAGGGATGACTAGAAGTGAACCATGTTTGGAACACAATGGACCTCTGATTGATGCCATTCTTTTCTTCCAGCACTGCGGCGCTTCTGCTTCAGTCTAGATGGGTCTCTTTATAAATTCGGTCTGGTGATCTGTGAAAGGTGGAAATCCTGCCAGCTCATTTTGGAATAGGCCAAAAAAAAAAAAGAAGAAAAAAAAAAGAAGATATATAGTAGGGATTTACAGAGGAAATACAGTCAGTAGAAGTGTCACTCACACTTTCACACTGGCAGACTCTCTGCCTGGCATGTGAGACTACAAGGCTGCAGGGTGACTTGAGTGCAAATGTCAGCTGTCTTACAGCTACGACGGCTACATTCTTCTTGCTTTACCCAACTTTCTTATTTGTAAAGTAAAGTACATTGGCTACTCCTTCCAAGATCCTAATCTTAAAAGAAGTAATTGCAAAGCAGGTTGTTTTCATTTGATGTAAGTTAACATGGAATGTATTATTTGATTACGTATTACCATTTCCCATCATTTCCCCAAATCACACCTATTTGTTTAAAAAGGAACAGTTTATTACTTTGGAAAAATGCGCTTATTCACTTTCTTGCAGAGAGTTAGATGAGGAGATTGATATCGCTCTCCTCTGAAGCTGGAGTCAGGTGACGGTTAGCTTAGCTTAGCATAAAGAGTGAAAACAAGGGGGAAAAAAAGCTTGGCTCTGTGAGTTAAAGAAAAATCTGCCTACCAGCACCTCTAAAATTCACCAGTGAACATGTTATGTCTCCTTTGTTTAGGTTTAACCTGTACAAATACTGAGACGTACAACAAGCTGCAGTTTTGTTTTTCTTTTGTTTACCTTTTGACAGAACCATGCCGTGGCTCTGCTGAGCTAAGCTAATCGTCTCATGGCTCAAGGTTCATACTCACCATACAGACGTTAGAGTGGTGTTACTGGTGATATAGTGGTGTTAGGAACCAAATAAACATATTTTCCAAAAAAAAAATCAAACTATTCCTTTAACGTATCATCAGGTACCAGTCTGAATTCTGGCACCCACAATGCCAATTTTGAAACACGCCCAGTGTTCGGATGCTGTGCTCCGTGGGAAAGCTTGAAAAAAAAAAGGAATGGCATCAAACCAACTGAGAGCCTGTTGTTTGGTCCATATGGTTCATGTAGAGCGACAAGAGAGAAGCAAATGTTATGCTGATGGAGAATTATGTAAGTGAATATTACCATTAGCCGTGTGTGAGTAAGAATGTGTGTGAGGATAAATGTGACATTTTACGAGCAAAATATGCTTGTTCCCAGACCAACCTGCCCCCTCTGCGTGTTTGTGTGTGTGTACAGTTGCATTCATTAGATCCTCAACAATCCACAATCAGTCAAATAGCACTTGAAGAGCGCATCTCCGATAGAATACAGCATGGTGTCCAGATGCTTTACACTCTAAGTATGAGGCAGGCAGGTGATGAATGTCTCAGACGGCTGCCTCCCGCAGCATGGTGAAGCATACTGATGTGCTAATCAGTGACTTCTGGCTGCACGTAAAGCTTTTCCACATATGCTAGCAAAATCAATATCTTATGATTACATTCATTTCATTAAAAGGACATGTAATTAGGTTAAAATAAAGCCGTACCCTCCACATAATGTAATCTGGACCCTCCAGCAGGTTAACATGCTCCCTGCATGGCTCTCATTGGGATTTATTTTAGGTTACATTTGCATGCCAGCTACAGTGTGCCGATGGCCTGAGGTGATATACAATGTGACAAATTTACATTATGTTTTTAATTTTAATGATCGCAAGAGGAAGAAGAATGACATGAAATAATTACAGCAGCTTGTAAAATTTAAAGCCATCATGTGTAGAATTCTTATGAGGATATAATTTCCTTCACACTCGAGGTTTTTGTTTGGGAGAAAAATGCTGTAAAAACTGGCACAGTCTTGTGTGAATGTGTAAGTCTGTTCAAATTCGACACACATTGGCTTTAAAGCCCCAAAACACTTGGTTTCAGAATTTCTTTAAAACATTTAATATTAACGGCTACAGAATCTGAAATCGATGTTCAAGGTTGGAAAACAATTTCCTTAAAAGTTTAAAGTTTAGCTATTGGTCAGTTTTGATATTGCTACATAGCCAGTATTAGCAGTAACAGCTGCTACAACAGAAAATTTGTGAGTTCAGCATCAAACTTTATGAGCAAACGATCCTGCAACTGCCGTCACATTCTGATTCAAATATTGGTAATCTTGGATTGGTCGAAAGAAATAAATGAAATCACCTTTTTCCAACCGAACCCCGCCCAGTATCTCAGATGTAACCTGTCTAATTAATTTGCACAAATATAATTTGCCAACAGTGCAATAACTCATACTTATGAGTTGTTTCATCATTAGAAAATATTAGATTAAGTTCTTTCTCTGTTGCAGCTAATTCACTTTAAAAAGACTGTTACTGTTTGGGGTATTAGTTTCATGCATGGGTTCAGTTTTAAATGTTCAGTTTTTAAATTTGACTTTTAACTAAATTCTGATGAGTTATTATATTATCTGCAGGTGCATGTGCTTTGGATATGTTTTAACTGCCTCTCATGTGAAGTAAAATTGTGAGTTTGGGCAACAAAACTGAACTAATTAGAAATCTGAAGCAGAACCAGAAAAAGATAAACATCCAGAATAATATGAAATGTGGTTTTGCCTCTGTAAGACCAGCAATTATAGCAATAGAAACTACAGTGTGAAGTGGGGATAATCAGGACAATAATTACATGCTGTATGACAGAAACGGTATTTCTCCGAAAGGCCAAACCTGCTTCCATGAAAAGCTGAAATAACCGTCTCTTCCTCTCCCACTGTTCTGCTCTCCCCGCTTTTTGTCTTCCTCCTCCCTAAATGTCAGAGAGGAAGTGCTTTGATAATAGGTGAAGGGAGAGGAACTTTGCTGAACTCAGCTCAGATCTAAAATCAATGTGAAAAAGAGCAAAGGTTGAAGAGGAAGCTTGGTGTGTGTGTGTGTGTGTGTGTGCTTTGTGTGCTCACAAAGCAGAAAACTAAGGTGTTATTCTACCTGTACATTGAAGAGTCAGAAAGATTGTGGATTATAATTACCAGTGTAGTCTGGTGGATCAGCTTGAAAAATCCAGGGGAACAAATGTCCACTACTATTTTACATAACATAAAAAATTAGAGCGTTAGATGAGGAGATTGATAACACTCATCATACAGTATCTGTATGTTACATATATTAACTGTTAGCTTATCTTAGCGCAAGACTCCAAGCAGCAGAAATCAGCTAGCTAATTAACTTTTTATACAGAGTGAAGAAACAGAAAGATATAATGTGCTAATTAGTGATTTACAGGTGTAGGTAGGCAGATTTTTAACCTTTTGGACAGAGCCAAGTTAGCTAGCTTAGCTTTTAGTGCTTAGCAAGCTAAGCTAACTGCCTCCTGGCAGCAGCTTCATATTTAGCATAAAGCTTTGAAAGTGGTATCAATCTCCTCATTTAATTCACACTAAGGAAGATATGCGCAGATTTCCCAAAATGTTTGATAAATGTTTTTATCACATTTTATGGTAAACATCAGGTCAAGGACAAATACGACAGAGATACAGTATTTTACATTTAAAGAAAAAAAGAACCACACAGCTACGAGAATCCGGCTTAAAATATGTTACAACAAGTTTCATGTTAATGCGAAGTCCGTCATCTTAGTTCTAACTGTGTGAGTAAGGAACTGTGAGGGGGCTGTATCTTCCCTTTGTGAAGAACTGACCTGTGTACAGTGCCTGTGGATTTATGAAAGAAGGCACCTTGTCTTTAAAACTTAGCAAGTTGACAGATATTTCCAGGACAGTTACCTCAGTTAGGAGCCCCACTACCATGAAAAGACTTTGTTTTTTTTACTGGATCTCTTGTTAGGACTCATTGGAGCAGATCATTGTATTGTTTGTGTGTGGCTCATCAGTTTCCCCCCACTTTCTCTCTGCAAGTCAGCAAGAACGTTTGACTTCTCTCTTGTCAGTGAATCAGATTTATCTCCTTCTCACCCAGCCAATGAACACGCTCCCTCCCTAAAGCTGAAGAATGAGCCCCCTTTGTGCGATTTGTAATGATAAAACTACATGTACATTACAATACGACTGTATAATCGTATTTATGAATATAAACAAATATAATATGTAAATGTAAATGTACCACTAGCGTAGACCTAATTTCATATGATGACACAGCTACTGTGTGTGTGTGTGTTTGTTTGTGTGTGAGTGTGTGTGTGTGTGTGTGTGCACGTGTGAGAGAGTGACAGAGCGAGTCTGAGTAACTGTGAGTGCTTGTGAAAGCTCGGTGTGTGTGACACTTTTGCGAGTGCTCACATGTGTTTTGTATTTGTATCATTTGTGTAACAAGAGATGCCTCAGTCTAGTTTAACTTTGTAAAAATCTGAGTGTAAACCCTCACACTGAAGCACTGAGTATTATTACCCACACCTACACTTGCTTTTGTGGTCCGCTGGTAAACGGTATGTACTGTCTCCGATATGGGGCGTGTCGTTTTGTTTGCTGTAGCCTACTGTTGCAGTTCTACAAGTAATACTCACATATAGAGTTCTGATTTCACAAAAATGGCAGAGTTAGCCAGCAGGGGCGGGGGTGGGGGGTGGGGTGGTGGAGGGGTGGGGTGTCTTTGTGAAATTGTTGAGAAGTTGTTGGCAGGAGAAGCCTGAGGTGTGAGGAGAAGGGTGTCAGTGATGTAAAAAAAAATAAACTGTCCAGTGTCACAGTGTCACCCTGCGGACAGAAATATGACGTCACGCCTCACAACATCTCAACTACTATACAGCCTTCCTTTGTTTATTATGTAATGAACATGCCTGAAGATCAAAGCTAGCAACATTATATGATGCAAACAACTTAATCAGGCTGCATTCAGTCTTACAATCTTTTCTTTTAAGAAGTGCAAAAAGCTCAAAGTGTAACTTTTATAGTGCAAATCAACTTGTTTTGTAGGTTTTCTTGAATCATTAACATCATCTCCTTACTGCCAGAGTGTAAAGTCAATGTAAAGGAGGCGAGAGTGCAGACCTCCGTGACTGAAACAAATGAGTCAAGAGGATAAATGTCTCCAGACATGAAATTGTTGGTACGGAAAAGGATGTGAAAGTGAAATTTTAAAATAAAAATGTGGAAGTAAAAAACAAACAAAAAAAAAGGCGAAAGACAAAACAAACAGTTTTAAGCAGGTTTTGTCATGTTACTGAATAAACTATTGGTATAAACCGCCACACTTAAAGCTGTACTGTTAAACAGAAAGAAAGACATGTATTAAATGTGTGACAAACCCACAGAAAATATCCACTAACTCTGCAGTTCTCCATCAGCTGTGTGGAGCTTTTCAGCCTGTTTCAGCTCAATGTACACGACCTACCCAACACCAAGAAACACACAGTCAGTGACGAGCCAGCGAACGAGAAACAAATCCCTCAGGAGTTAGTGGAGATCAAAACACAGGTAAATGGAGAGTGAGTATTGGACCTGGGTCGTTATGTGTAAATAAATGTTTGCTTGCACAGGTTGACTGTAACAACTTCATGCGATGATAATATTGCGTTTATTTTTGGCTTTTTTGCTGCCCCCAAGTGGCAAAAATCAGTAAATGCAGCTTTAAAGCCCCCTTATGTAGGATTGGAAAATGCTAGCATCAGAAAGACAAGTAAAGATCCAATTCCCTCTCAGAAAATCCAAACTTTAGTAAGTAAGATTATCTCAGTCCACTGGCAGATATTTTGCACTTCTGTTAAGAGTAGGTCTACCAGAAAGAACAAATACATACAAGTCAATGTGTTTTGTTGCCTCTTTTGTGTTTTGACTCACTATATTAATAGGCTTTGATTAAGTCCCATTTTATGTGGGGCGGTATGCAGTGAAACAGTTTCATTAGAACAGATTGGCTCACAGAGTGGCTTCACAATGTTTTGATCTCCACTCTCCTCCGCTGATTAGCTTCTGTCCATCCTAATTATCACCGGCTCAGAGCGAGAGAGGCACTTCGTCTTTCCTCCCTGAGACTGCAGACGCTAATGGTTTTCTTGTTTCGTTGTTTTGATTGCTTTCACATCCTATGTTTCCCATGCTGTATCCAATTCAAAACCACACTGACGAATCTCAACATTTTACTCTGCAGATATTATGTGCCAAAGAACGGGACTGTGTTGTGTTAGAAAAATGAAGTATATTATTGCTGTGGTTGTATCAGGTGGAGTTTAACATGAGGTGATGCTGTATTGATCACATGATGCAGTCCATCAGCTGTCAGTCCGCAGAAAGCTCTGGACGGGCGCTCTGAGCTGTGTGACATGAATATGAACATAGATATTGTACTTTTTTTGACAGGGGACCATTTGTGCTCAGTTGTGCAATATAATTCTATTCTTCAACATTTCTCTATGATGTTCATGTAAATGTCTATTTGTCCCGTCGGATGATTTTGCTTTTGTTTTCTTTGTTTTTCAATATTGTTACTGTAGGCCGCTAGAACAAAGACGATGTAATTATTTTTGTTACATAGAATAAAACACATGGATGTCAACTGAGTAACTGTTTTGATTCGGCCCATGTGTTTCCTCCGATAGCACCTTCACACATTCAAACACGCTCACACACACACACACACACACACACACACACACACACACACACACACACACACACACACACACACACAACAGTGAGCCAAGAGTATGAGTCATTGTCTGGCAATGATGTCACACTGCTGCAGTGATGTCACCACTTGTGCTGTTCTCATGGTAACCATGCTGAGGCCACAAGGCAGGGAGTACATAAACACACAAAACACCATCTCACACCTACATTATTACACATATGGATATACAGGCACTAAGGTGCGCACACACACACACACACACACACACACACACACACACACACACACACACACAGAGACACACACACACGTCTATGCGAATTCAGATGATGTTACATTGACTTACATTTGCTGCAGATTTACTCTAACCCTAACCTTAACCTAAATCTAACCTTTAGCCTAATGTCACCACACACACACACACACACACACACATACACCCATGCCCACACACACACACACACACACACAGTCAAAATTCAAAGTGAAAATTAATGACTGCGGAAATTAATTTTGCCTCTTGTGTCTGCGGACACTCATTTACTCAGCCGGACAGCGACAGAGAAATAATTGAACACAATGAAATGACTCATGAAGATTAAGCTCTGACTTTATGAATTTTAATGAAGACATTGTCTTCACACAAGGGCCAGAAACATTAACAGACACGTTTTGTGCTGAAGAATCAAACACATTTCCTGTTTTTAAGTGCTTCATTAAAGGACAATACCAAGCAATTAATTTCACTGGTTAGATAATGTGTTTTCCCGGGGCTGAATATGTGTGGACATCAATAGAAAGACATCCAGATTTATCACAACTTTGGTTCCTCTTTTGACCAAACTCTTTTTTTTTTTCTTTCCATTGCCCCTTCTCCAGCCATCCGTCATGGATCAATATAAATCTATTCTGAGCCCGGCTGTATCAGGCTTCAGCTCAGTGGAAAACCAAACATCACAAACGCACACGCAGAGGCTAAGCAGCAGAGAAACAGTGAATCACACTGCAGCAATAGAGGTCACGGTGAAGAGGTGCAGTTTTGCAAAGCGGCCACAGGATGGGGCTGTAAGCTCAGTTACACTCAGCTCCAGTATCTGAACTAATGTCCCCGTCTGTGACATTTTCACTGCAAAGGCTTTGCAAGGACCACGCAAAAGTCAGATGTTTAGTTCCCTCACAACAATCTGTGTGAAAGCAAAACGCAGCAGAGTGAGGAAAGAGCAGAGTGGAAACACGCAAAGAGAAACCGTAAATTATTATTGGGTGAAAACAGGGTGACAGTCAGCAGAACTCAACTACAAAACAACACTTTAACCCAGTCACTATCAGTGATCAGTCAGACGGATGTGGCTGCTAAGCAACCCTCTCTTACACTGTCAGTGTCCAGCTGATAAACACACAACCACACTGTGTAGACAAGAGGAGATTAATGAATGAGCAGAGGAGAGAAGACAACTCCACCTCCTACTACCACTGCCACCACCACAACTGCTCCTGCTAATACTACACTAATACTACTTGGTGTGTTTTGGGGTTATCAAGAATTATTTGAGGCCACAAAACTTTCTTACATTGAACCAATCAGGTATCTGGTATATATTCACTGAGCTGTAATTAGCAACAAATTATGCTGCAGAACATATTATATTATCTTGGATTTTAAAGACAAATTCAGTCACTGCAGCTGCTGTGCCAATAGCACTACTACTTGAAATACAACTAGTATAACTACAATATTTTTTATTATTATTGTTATTATGCTGATTATACAATACGATAACTACAAAAAAAGAACAAGAAATATTAATGATATAAATAAAAAAAACACAATCAAACACTAAAGGACATATGCACATACAATGATAATTAAAGCACAAATAAAACTAAGTGTAAGAAGCTCCATCAGTGTGAGTGTTCAGCCTTGAATATGAACAAAAACATCAGATTCAAATCTATGGCTATAAGTTAAAAAATTATACTGTATTCACTTTTGAAAATACTCAGTGAAAGTTTGAAATCCGTCCTTAACTGCACTAGTAAGCAATAAAGTGAAGCTAATATTTGGGGTTTTACCTTTCTGGGGGTAATGAATGAACAAAGGACGAAGGAAAAGTTCTACTACTTACTAGTTACTATTACCATGACTACCAGTGCAACTCTACAAACACTGCTACCACACCACGGGAGCGTTACTGCTTCTACTTCTGCTCAACTCCCCATTCGCTACATGACATCAGTGATTATTTGATGTCACAAAACTCTCTTTGTTTGAAAAGTCAATCAAAGACGACTGTTACTGACCCAGATTTCTGCAGAGAGGTGATGTCAATGCAACGCTGAGATCGCATCTGAATGTTCAACTGTGCCAAAAATATCTAACGAAGCATTTCAAAAGCAGCACTATTGTTAATGATACTCATACAAATAATGACACAGACTATACCACTGCTACTTCTAGTGGTTCTATACTACTGTCTATCTCCTGGTTCATTTTACTCAACTTATCATTTGATTATTTATTTCTTGATAGATTAGGAAAAAACTGACCCACTGTGGCTCCACAGATCAGAGGCACAGTTAGACCGAAGAGACCGAAATGTGCTGCAAACACAATGAGAGCACTTTAGAAATGAAGTGAAGTGAACGTGTATAGGTAAAGGGCCACGCTCTCTCTTCCTGCACCGAGACATCAGCCTTGAAGATCTGAAGTAAATTTGTAAAGCCACCTCTGTGTGACACATGACAAAAGACCTCACAGGCATCGGGCGGTCGTAATCCCTGGCACTGTGCTGTGTTCACCATGCATGAGTAAGGACGCTAATGGCCCTGTGTTCAACTGGGTGTACAACCTTGGTTTTAAATGAAGGTTACATCCATTATCTGCTATCCTTTAGGCTAATTTATCTCACCCCTCTCTCATCATCTCCCCCTATCTCACTCATCCTCTCCGAGTTATTGGCCTCGTCTCTTTTAAACTGAAACCTACTTATCCTTAATTATTCCTGTTACTTTTTGCTTTTAGGTATGTTTTAACCATCAAAGATGACGAATAACTTTATTTGAAAATGAAATAAGTTAAAATGAAGAGAAAATCTGCCAATAGGAGGTGAGGTAATACCGTTTTATCCTAATAATAATAAAAATAATAATAGATCACATTACAAAGTGCTTTACACAAAGCAGCAGAGTAAGACGTATAAGGCAACAGAGTTAAAACGAGCAGATCAGAAATACAACAAAAGCGTCTTGGTATTACAGCGCAAATAAACCAAAGGCAGTGTCACCAGCCAGAGAGCATTCAGTAAAAAACAATAAAACCATAAAAATAAAGTCTCAAGTAAATAAAAATAGAATCAAATACAATTAAACCAGTAAAAGTGCAATCCATAGTACCGCACTTCTTTAAAAAAATTCAGTTCATTTCTAGATTAAATGGCTCATTGTCATGGCTATTTTCTGCTGTATACTTAGTATGTGCCTGAACATCCCATGAGCCTCTTGGGCAAATTGCACCGTCAACAGACAACAGCGGGGTGTTGGGTGCTGGGGTGGGGGCGGAGCCATGCTGAATAAGGAAGCAGAGCTGCGATTGGTCAGCGCGAGGACAGAGGGGAATGGACCAAGCCGGGGAGCTGAGAGAGTGATTGAATGGGACAGAGAGGGAGGGAGGGAGGGAGGGAGACAGGGAGAGAGGGAGAGAGGGAGAGAGGGGGCACTGAGTGGGGAAAGACACAGGCAGAGAGATAGCAGCAGATGGACCGCTGCACAGCCTGCAACACACTCTCAAAGGACAGACTGTATGAGTGACAGTGTGTGTGTGTGTGTGTGTGTATGCATGGATCACAGAGGAGTGTGTGTGTGTGTGAGTAGGAAAATTGGTTGTGAATGAGTGAGCGTCTTTCACGTGCTCTGGAACTGGATGCAGTGAGCAATAATCCTCTTGAGGAGGAACAGGATACAGACAAGTGAACAGGAAGCAGAGGACTGAACACTTTTGCTCTGCACACTTCGGCTGCTTTCAGGGCAGGTGCAAGCCCAGCAAACCTTCTCTGTAGTAAGCCTATTGTCAATGCAGGAGAATCTCGATAAATGCTACAGACTGTAGCGGGACATTTTGTTCATTCGCTTGCACCTTTCTTTTTTTTTTTGCCTAAGAAGAGAACTGTGTCTTTATCAGAAGGAAGAAGACGGTTCGCAGGGCACCTCTGGGAGCACAGGAAGAGGGATTCTCTATGGTGAAGATGAGTCTGGACCCCGTACAGGTGATGAGCGGACAGGTCAAAGAGCTCAAAGTTGCCCCTTCGTCCAACGGGGAAAGCAGAGGATCATGGGAGGAGAAGGAAGAGTTTGATCAGGATCACCTGGGCCTCACCACCAAGCCAAAATCAGTAAGTCTCACCGACTGTTTATCTGTAAGTACGTCATGGTTAGTTGGGAATTTCCAGAGTGAAGTTTCTTCCAAACATCCCTCTGTCCTCCTCTCCTCTCTTCTGCCATGCTGCTCCTCTCTTCCCCAGCTTATCCTCTTGAGTCAGATGTTTACATAGCCCACGTGCAGCTTTAAGCACAGCTCATTAATGAGGGGCCGGGGGGGGGTCAAGCCATAGTGTGTGTGTGTGTGTGTGTGTGTGTGAGAGAGAGTGTTTCAAACTTCTGCTACATCCTTCATTCAGATTATGAATTCAATTTTAATAGGAGACACATAAGACAAAAAAAAAAAAGTGAGAGGTGAAAGAGCAAAGCAGCAAAGGTAATTCACTTATTCATTCATGACCATGCCTTTCATGATTTTAGAGGCTAGGCTAACAAGCTAACCTACATCACCTGCTGTCTGGAGTACATGTTTTTATTCATAGCTTTTTTTTCCCCACTGGACTTTGGTCTAAATGTGACATCTGGGTTTATACAATGACTTAGAGTTTTCGTTCTCATCAGGACAATAAATTAAATTCTATCTTGTATGACACAGTCTCTCTTTCAAAATATAGGTATGAAACTAAACTCATAGAAGATGAAAAGGAGAACATAAATGACAAATCAAAGGGTCTCACGTAAACGACTTAACGCCACAGTACTGTTGTATACAACTGGATGATGTGACACTGAAAGCGTCACAACTAGATATTTTCTAATCGACACACCAGATGTTCTTCAGTTGAGTAGTTTGTCTCTATTGTGAGCATTGCTACAATCTAAAAACTTTAATTATCCGAACTTCTCAGAGACAACTTTGTTTCTAAGAAACTTCTGAGAAATAAAAAACTCCAGTTTGCAAAAGGTCAACATGTGTTTGAGCTGAGAGTTAAAAGAGAGCTAGGCACACGGAGTGGCAGGGTTCAGTGCTGTTTATAGCAGTGCAGGACATCAACATACTGTACAGGGCAACGCAGCATTTTCCAAGGAATCAGGGGGACAGGCCTCTGAGCCAGTTTGAGTGTGAAACTATGAAAGAGAATGATTGAAAGTTAATGCAAAAAATAATTTGGGTAAGACAGTATCATAGTAACCAAACAAAAAGAGAAGAGAATAAAAAACAACAAATAAGAAGGAAAATACTGGTGAGTGCTAACTGAGAACTAAAAGTAGCTAAAAGCTGAGTAATCTCTGCTGCTTGAGGATTAGTGCAGCCGCAGTGGTGTATTTCCAGATTGTAAACATCCATTACCATGCAGCACTGACACCGCTTAACTATCAATCCAAATAGACGGCATTACACCACTGCAATAAAGATATAGCACCGGCCAAATAGACAGCACAGATACATTCATCTGAAGGATGGGTTTAACTGTACTCGCATGTAAAAGGCACCAAATTTAGAGTTTTAAGACACATAATAGCATTAGTGTATACTGCATGTGATTATTCATCAGGGGGAATGGACCAGGCAGATTATAGGGCTTTTATTCAAATGAAAGCCTGTTGAAATTAGATGGTTACATGACAGTTAAAACTGAGCAGGACGAAGTTGAAGCCATGATGACATCAGTTTTTTTGTTATCACGGTATATAGTACAATATACTGTATATCGATATATGAAACTTGTTGTTTCTTTGCGTGATGCATATTCTATCTTCAACACGTTTCGTTGTGGCCTGTTGCTGAACGTGCAGGGCATTACATTAATATGAGGCCTAATATTTCTATACTACCAAGCCCATTGTAAAAACTTAATTTCTTATTTAGTGTTTGAATGTTTGATTGACTCTAAAGCCCAGACAGATGCTGTTTCAAAAATCAAGAGAACAAATTCACCTAATGAAGAGCTTTCCCTAATGATACATTTCCACGGATGACAGCCCCGTTATGCAGACCCGGCTGCCCAAGAGAATAAATATGAAAGATAAATAAAGGATAATGATGGAAGGTGTCACTTTTTTCAGTGATGGCAGTTTTTACTAAACAACACCGGCCTCATTAATATAAAAAGAAATGCAGTACTAGTTCAATACTTTTCACTTAATTTATAGTAGTAGTTATATCATTTTAATGAACAGGTCAGTGTAATTAGGTAGCATTCACATTAAATTAAAGCCAATTTTAATTGATATTAAATCACATTGAACCTGAAGAAGAAGGTAAAGAGGCTCAGGGGCTGTAGGTGAGATAATTTAACTTTTAATTGAGACAGAAAGTCAGAATCGGTGCAGTGTGTATCTGCTCTCCTGTGAGCTGCAAACTTGACAATGACTGGCTAAATAGCTCAATACCTTCAGCAGCAACATAACTCATCGTTATTTCTAGGAGCATATTAGCATTGGCTAATAGTGTCTGGAGGTTCAATTGTTATTTTCTCATTATATACCGGGTGAAGACGCCTAAATATATCAAGCATTTTAAGCATTTTGACTATTTAGTTTTTAAGCACATTTCAGGCTGCAAGAATACAGAGCACACCAACATAATATTAAGATGTAGTTGGGTAGTAAGAACTTTTACTTGTGTTAATGCTACGTATTTTTACAAAACTCTACCAGCTAAGTATTTAAAATTAAAATGTAAAACAATTATGAACACTGACTGGCACAAAAATGTGTGTAATGTAACCAAACTGCAACAGCAAGTCTCTCCAAAGTCTGCAGGCTGCAGGACTCAGGAGTAATATCCACTAGCTAACAGGCTAACAAGCAGTCTCTTCAGTGTTCTTCAGCATACAGGCATGTACGGCAAGTGTTGAGGGTTCTCTGTAGGAGAGGTGCTATCAGTGGAAGTCAAATCAAGGCGAGTTCATGCAGTACCGAACGGCCTCAGCAGTGTTAGTGCACGCATCTACGGTGAGCCCTGAGGGGAAACATACAGTATACCACAACCGCTACCAAGTTCTCGGTCTGCCCTCTACGCTTGATGGGTGGTTTGTCTATGAAACCAAGAGGAAAAGCTGATGGCGAGAAGTCTGGAACTAAGGGCAATGCAAATGTTTGGATGATTCCTGCAGCCAAGGAGTCCTTGATGTGTTTCTCCGTAGCTTCCCGCTCAGGCTTGGAGAGGTTGTAGAGGCGGCTGAGGAGAGGGTTGCTGGGCAGCAGGTTGATGTCACAATCGTAAATGCGATAGGGAGGCATAGAGAGGGTTTTCTGTTCACTGAATACCGCCTGAAGGTTGTGGTACACAGACAGGACCAGAGTAGAAAGAGTAGAGTAGAGTAGAAAACAAGTTTCAGACAAGGTTTGTAGATTTCAGACAAACCAGCACATTAACATTGCTGTTACTGGCAGTGTGTTCAGTCACACTCTTGTGTAACCATATCGGGCCAAGGCCTGAACAGAATGCATCATCACTGGCCTTTAGTTATCTATAAATATCAGCCCCCCCCCCCTGGTGCTCACCCCCCGTCACTTTCTCCCCACACTCTCACTGCTTCCCTTTCCTCTTTCTCTACCTGTTGTCTGGAAATCCCTCACACTTCTTGTCTCTTCATTCTCAGACGGATGGAAGGGATGTCTCACAGCCTCAGATATGTAAATAACAGATGACTCATGGATCTGGGTTATGCACAGATACCAGTCCTGCTGATCTGGCAAAGCTCTGACAGGATTAATATATAGTGGAAGAAAGGGAAGGGGGGAGGGGGCGATAGGTTCAACAACAATTTCCTTTTCTGTGCTTTACCAGGTAATAAAGAACGCTGGAATTCCTCAGTGCAACTTCAAATATATACGTGAATGTTTAGTTTTCACTCCCAGCAGGTTAAATTATACCTTTGCCACCGTACAGCTTAATAAGTAGGAGGCGATCATGGTCACTGCGGGTTCCTGTGAAGAGGAGCCTTGTGATCGATGCATTCCCAGTAGGTAGGAGGCCCACTGGGAGAGGGCAGGCAGTTAACACTACCAGTATCAAATCACAGTGAAGAACTGGACTCTTGCTCTGGGTTCACTCCCAGACTGTGTGACATTTTAATTATAGAGTAAGCTGACTCTAATGGATAAGCTGCACCAAAGGTCTCATACATCTGCAAGGCTGTTTCTGTGCAGAGGAGAAACCCATGTTTTCCACTGTAAACAGAGCCCTTTGATAGCAGTTTGACCCACCTGGGTCAGACCTCTGTTATACACAAATACTTATCTTCATAGTTTTTAAAGAATGTGTAGAAACTTACATATCATTGCAAAAAGAACACCCATCCTAACAGGTCCCATTATGTTTGAGGAGAATGTCAAAATGTGAGAAGTTCTTTCTGTTGAATAAAAACAAACTGTCATTCTGCTAAGGTGACAGGGAGACGAGCCCGGAAGGTGGAGGGAGGCGTGTTCTTCGTAAGTATGTCCCATCATCACGTGAGGTCGCAGGTTGTGTCCATGGTTACTGAATGACCCTCACCTCTGCCCTTTCACCGTCTTTTAACCTCCCCTGTGACGGCTGACAATGTGCCTGCATGGTCACGGACACGCCCACTCCACTAACCAACAACCTGACCTGATGCATCATCTCGTGTGCTGTCATGTTCATTCATATTGTGCCGGAGAATCACTGGCTGGACTGAGCCAATGAACCCACTTGCTGTGTCACTAGACAGCTGCACAGAGCTATGGCTCTTTAATATGTGAACTCATGCTTCTGTGATATTAGAGTCTTGATATTATTTGACAGGCTGCATGCTCTGCCACAGGCTGGAAAAAAAAAATCTAGATTTATCCTCACGGTGCGTTATAGAGGTCCAACTAAAACAAAGAAAATAAGTTGAACTTAAATTGAATTCTTCTCATTCTGTGCAATGAAATATAAACTACAATCATACTGGAGTCATTGTGAAATTTTCCAATAGTGGATAAAACTGTTGTTGGACATATTTGTGGAAATAATGTCTAGGCTTTAAACTTAGAGTGGGCACGCTTCCCATGTCAGCGGCTGACTGACATTTGAGGGCCGGCCTTTAGAAGCACGCACCATGGTGTAATTCTGACTGCAGCACGTCACAGCCCTGTATAGTCCAGGAACATTGATAAACGATGTGTTTCTCTGTCTCTCCCTATATACCATTAAACATTTAGAAGTACCCATCATGCTGTTATTTCAAAAGTTGAAGCTATAGCAACTTAGGCTAACTAGCTTCCACTCTGGAAGGAGAAGCTAGCTAACCCAGCGTGCTAATGTTCCTGCTCAATGTTAGTTTTCCCTCATATTATCTTAATGTCAGTTTAAACTAAAAATAAAGCAGCTTTTCTCACCTGAAGGTTGCTTCCAGTAAAAATATAAATCATGCAACGAACAAATGAAGGTAGTTAGCCTATTTTTAGCTTCACCCTACTCCTGCGCTTTAGAAGGTCCTGTGTATTAATTTAGTTTCATCCTGACAGATTGCAACCTTCACCTGAGCCCTGGGGAGAAGCTCTTTTTCTCTCTGGTGACAAAAAATAAAGCTGATCTTACAAGCACGTGGTACAAACATTACCTTTACACAGACGTGTTTATATACACATGTAGTTAGCTACACCTAGCTAAAACCAATGCACTCTAATGCAACATCATGCAATGAATGAAGGTTATAATGATAATAGAGTTGATAGGTGTGCCTATTATTCCGTCCGCCTCATTCAAATCAGTGAGGATTGGCTAAACAACAGACACACCTCTTTGTATAATACAGTCCGGTCCAACAGCAACACAAATTACAGTTGAATCAACATTTCTATCAAAAAATGTTTTCTATCAAATTTTAATCCGACTTGATGTGATGTGATGTGGGTCGGGAGTAATCCTGACAAGGCGATGCATGTGTGTGTGTGTGTGTTAACAGGTAAGTGGGTGACATGCCAGCAGGCAGCAGGGTTGTGATGGAACAAGGCTAAATAGAGGGACAGTAGCTCAGTGCTTCTGTCGGCCTGTGGCCTACTTACCAGCACACAGGCATCGGCGCATGGACACAAACATGCATGTGTCTCAATACACAGACACCTGTGTAATGCATGTAGACTTACACTGACTTACAAGCACAATTTTTGAATGTATTGTTATCTTGTGCTTTTTCTTTTTTGCATTTGCATGTCAAGTTAAATTAAGTTAATTAAGTTAGTTGAGTATATAAAATAGCTAGAGTTAGATTCATTTTTATAATTAAATCATTACAGGAAACATGCACAATTTAAAGCTTTTTAGAAAAATACATTTAACCAGAACAAAAGATACTTGCACCCATGTTCCACATATACATCCACACATATTTATAGGCAGAGTTGTGTGCAGTGGTACAACCTTCAAACACACACACACTTCCACATGCACATTACTGCACTTTAAATTAGTTGCCCCCCCTCATCTGAGTTCAGAGTCCCACTGTGGGCAATGATGCCGGTTGCCCCCGTAGGAATGCTGCCCTCCCCCTCCAGACAGCAACACTCAAGCGTAAACACACACATTAGGCAACACGAGAACAACACGAGGCCACCACGCCGTCTAGCAACCGTTCATTTGAGTCTATGGAGAAATAAGCCTGGGTAAAAATCATCACACACTTTAGTGTGTCACTGACCATTCGACAAACTAAATATTACAATCACCTCTTGGTTTTTTGCAGCATGATTCAACAACAAAACTACAACCTCCAAGAATACCACAGAGATCAATGAAGGAAGTATCTTGTGTTTCATATATAAGGAGGGGCTGGAATATTTGGTATGTGTGATGAAAGACTAGGACAGCACTAATTGCCACACAGACGTTTTTGGAAAGACGCCCTTCCTCACTGTGTGTACAGGCCAACTCACAATCAATAGACGCAGGTAAGGTTAATTATAGAAATCCAGCTGGAACAACAGGTCTGTCCCAGCAGGGGGAGCCACATTCACATGATGTAAGTTACTGTAACCTAAAAAACAGCTTATAAACAAGAAATAAAAAGACAAACAAAAGAAAAAACAACATCACTTGCACTCAGATCTCCTCATTCAATCCAATGGGAATGAGGGATTCTGTCTTTGTTGCTCCGTGGTATATTCAGAGTCTCAGTTTCCATGTAATGTAGTTCACTCAATCTGTTGTTATGACTATTAAAATGCCGAGCCACGATCATGTTTTATCAGCTGTCGTCAGGTAAACCATATTTATAGTGTAATATGTGAGGTATCACTAGAACTAGGTTTGAGTAGATCGCTTTATCCAGAAATGCATCCTCACATCCCCTCACTTCGAAACAGTCACAGCGATCTTCAGCATGTGACTAGAATTACAAATGATTTAATCCTCACTAACTGACTGTATGGGTGACTTCTAAATCTTTCCAAAATTTGGCAGTTTCAATTTAATTTCTATGATTTTTGGTTGAGTTAAATTAAATGCTTAAATTGTTATACATGATCTTTAATTTTTTTATGCTTTTCTGCTTTTTTAGTTTTTTATTATTAAAGTAATTTTACCAACTCAATAATATTATGTTATTTTAAGATATTGGTGGGCGGGTTTTGAAGTTACCGTCCAACGACAATGCTTATGAAAATGTGAAAGGTGGGGCTAAGCTTCCCTCAGAGTCGACAAGAACCTACAAACTTTTGTAAATTGCTCTCAGCTGTAGTGAACTGCATTGGACTATGGGTCACCACGTGGATGAACATACGTAGTCTTCTTATCTCATGATTAGAGATGACACCGTTCTACTAATGACAAGATCCCCATTCATACAGTATGTTGCTGCTCCATGATACTGTAATGACATTACAACAGATAACAGGCATGACAATAAGCATGTAGCCCAGCATGTATTGTGACGTGAAGAGTTTCTTTTAACTGCATCCAAATAAAGTTTTAATGATGACGTTCTCCATACCGTCCCTTTTAAAAAAAAAAAAGGTCACAGCAGCAGTTGCATGCTCTTGTAAAAAGTAGACATTCAAAGTATAATTAGCAGGGTTCAGTTTTGTGGGACACCGCAGGTAAAAAATAGGATCGTCATCTCTCACTTTCCCCCCTGTGTTCTCCAGTCATCATTACTCCTCGCTCATCTCCCCCTTTTTTTCTCTTCCTCTTCATCATACCGCTCTCTATCTTGTCTCTGTTTTTTTTTTTCCCGCAGCCAAAGCCTGAGAACGCAGTGACCATCGCCGTCTCCTCTCGCGTCTTGTTTCGGACCGAGCGTGAGCAGAAGGTGTTTGAGCAGAAAGGAGTGGAGGAGTATCTGAGATTCCAGATCGAACACGAGAACGAACCCTTCGCCCCTGGACCCGCTTTCCCCTTCGTCAAGGTAAAAGTCACACAAACAAACAGACGTACAGCACAGACTTTGACTGATAGACGGATGGTTTTGCTTTTTTTAAATTTTTTTTTGCTGTCCTGAGCTGACTGCTGTGTTCTGACAGGCTCTGGAGGCCGTCAACACTCGTCTGCGGGAGCTGTACCCACAAAGTGAAGAACTGTTCGACATCGTGTTGGTGACGTACAACCATGCACACGTAGGGATACGGCTAATCAACACCATCAACCATCACAGTGAGTCTTACAGAGATCTCATCAAGAGGGAGACGAGCTTCAGTGCCTCCACACAGGAATATCAGGTGCTTTATGCCCAGCGTGGCAGACAGTAATGGTAATGACGCATCAGGTTAAAGCCACTATAGAATTTACGATGTTGGTGACCCTCAGTGACACTGACAAAATACACAATGAGGCAGCGATAGTGCCTTTAAATAGCTTCCTGTCATAGGGTAACAACCCGTTGATAGGTTAGTAAGATATCAAGTTTCTACACCCACACATACACTTCAGTTTGACAAGGTCATTATTTCTCTCTCCATGAGCCAAACAAAACATATGCCCCTCTATATGCAGACATCCCACATTCAGCTACTGTGCCTTAAAATGAGCTGTCAGGATTTCTGTAAATTTGTGATGTCACAACTTTACAGTTACCACCCTCAGCCACCCAGAACCACTGTCCAACATATTTGTTGTTGTTTTAGCTTTTTTAAGATAAAAGACAACTTGTTGCTCAGCTAGCAGCTACAAGACACAAAGACAGAAACAACAACTAATAGAAATATTAGAAACCAGTGGCTGAAGTTTTTTTTTTCTGAAATACCGGAGTATTTATACTAGTATTCATTTCTTTAGCACACCTTGTTGCGTCCATCCCGTGTGAGTTTTTATTGAACCGTTTCCTTATGCAACTTTAAGACACCAATGAGATAATCCAAGTTGGTCCGGATACCGAAGCTGACGCAAGCTCAGCTGAGAGACAAACAACAAAGTGTATGAACAGCTGACTGGCATGATCCTTCCCAGGGTACTCTCAGACCCTCTTATGACATCGTCCTCACAGACCACTTCCTGTTCCTCAGAGCTCCGGGCCGGGGTTGAGCTCAAGATGACGTCCTCTGGGACGCAAGAATAATCCAAGAGGCCCGAAACAAAAACAGGTCTGATGGCCTTCCAGATGCTTCCATGTTAGATGTCTTTGGTGGCTCTCTGTATGAAGGGCTCAGTGCATTCAAACAGTCCCCTGACCTCTGACCTTTGCAACAGAATGAAAAGAAAACATGGTCTCTCTGATGTCACAGAGATAAGAGCTACAAGACATGATTAATATTACCTTCTCCTTTAGCTTTTCCCATTCGAAAGTGCAACATGATCACCACAGAGAAACACTTAAATACACATTAATTTCTCATCATCTACTTACACTTGCTATTTTTAACAGTTGCAGGATGGAGTATAAAGTTTCTCTCCTTGCGTTCGGATGACCGAGCACAACTACACAGTTACACATAGCTCTGAATGACAAATATAGGTGACCGCTAGCAATTCAATCCATCTGTTTAGCATGTATACATGGTAGGACCCGGGGGCTAAGATGACTGGCAGGCCCTGTAATGTGCTCCGTGTGCAGTAAATTGAGAGTTCACGTGATGACATTAACATTCTCTATGGAAATCAGACCTGGAGCCGCTACATGGACTCACACAAGCATCAATATTCATAACATTGAACATAGCGGCTACGAGAGTAAAAATATTAAACTGTGCAATGAAGCTGCTCGTACTTTGACGTGACAGCAGTGTCTTCAAGGTCCTGCTGAGTTCCTGTTCTCCTATTACCATGTTTTAGATCTTCGGAACAAGTAAATAAATCATACAAGATGGATTCTATCAAAACATTATGCGGGGGGGATACAAAGACATCAGTGGCGAGGACATTTTCCCTCCAGTGACTCTCACGCTCCGGCACCCGTCTTAAAGGCAGGGGACACTTGGGAGGTTTGAAATGATGAGGTAGTGTGGGGGTCAAACCCACGAGGGCCTGACTACAAAGCTAAATAAACCATTTAGGAAATGTGAAGAGGACAGTCGGTTCTTTGAATGATGGAGAGATCACTCAGGGGGTTTAAAGCAACACTGTCCCTCTGTTTCTTTTAGTTTCTATCTCCAGCTCCATCCGCCTCCAGCACATCCATGAGTCACACTGCACAATAACTGTTTTTGTTTCCGCCTGTATTGTCACTTCATACCAGTGGATACAAGAGTTTAACACCGCTGACATTAGATTTGTCTGAATGGAGAACTGACTCATGCTAATTTGGAGACTCTTTAACTGTAAATGTTTTCTCCACAAGATCCCTGTTGTTGTTTTTGTGTGTTTCTCAATCTTTTTCAGACCAAAGACACTTAACCACGAAAATAAAAGTCACAGACCCTCCCCCCAACATCCCCAAAACCAATAGGGCCTTTATAACAGAGTCAATTATACAGTAATAATATGTGTGACAGTGGGAAATATATATAATATATATAAAATATTATATAATTTTGTTATTGACGTCTTGTTGTCAGAATTAATTGAGATCGCCTCCGACGATATCCCGGTGTTGGCCTCTACATCCAAACACAACACAGACATAAAGTGATTAATGTCATACGGCCCACCGGCCCGTCCCCGGGCCCATCAGAGGGAGTAAAAACATTTGTCAATATACACAGTCTGTACCTCGTTAGCTTGGTTAGAGGCTCAAGAATTCAAATATTTAGTTTGTCTTGCGCTAACTATAAGCACATAAATATCTCCCAGCATGGTGTACCAGCAGAGTTTGGTGACTGCTTACCGTTTAAACGTGTAGAACGTGTAGAACTCCAATTCTCTCTCCATTCCTCCGTTGTTTATATTCCTTTAGCCCATAACGGTCCACAGGTCACAAAAATCAAAAGGGTTCCTTGTAAAAGTATTCCAGGTTGTGAATATCATCATGAGAAGTCCACAGCAGACGATCAATCGATTACTTGTTTGCTGCTCTTCCCTCGCTTCTCCTCTCCACGCGACTCCATCTGCGGCGGGTCTGCTATTGTTTGTTAGCTTACCGGCTACAAAATGGACGCCTCCCAGTGAAGATCGGATCAGAATTCACTTAGCGGGGCAGCGAGCAGAGCGTAGCCAAGCTTAAGACGTAATGACGTTTCTTTTGTCAGAAAAAGCCTGTTTTTTTCACAGCTTCTCTCTACATTGTAGATAGACGTCTCCCCTGACCAATCAGAGCAAACTAGAGGGGTGGGCACTTCAGAGGCAGGGCCAATAGCTTTTTTCACACCTATAACCTGTTTCATCTCATGCTGCATTCACTTGCACTTGGACATTGGAGATTCACGCTTGTAAATGTCCAACCGGCAACAAATTTTTATTTATAGACTTTTGAATTAGATTGTCCAAATTTGGGATGGGTTATGGTTAGGGTTAGCTGGGGTTAGGGTTGTTTAAGGTGTGATTAAGGAGCGGCGGCTGCCACCTTATGTCACCCTGGCAGAAGGGCCCCTGTGAGGCAACACAAAGCACAAAGCAACTTCACTTCACTGATTTCCCACAGAAAGTAAAGTTAGCTCATGGGAAGTATCAGTCTGTGCCTGTGAAAACAATTCTACTGTATTTTGTCCTCTCTGGTTTTGAAAAGCCTGAGAAAATAATCCTGGTGATGTCACAGTGATGTCATCAGGTTTACCTTGGCTTGTTAAAAACTGAGTATGGAGTTTGAAAAACATGGACAATTAGAACAGGAGAGGGACGGTCAAATTAAAAAAATGCTACTTGTTGCATGACCATGGACAAAAAGTCAGGATAACTCTGCTTTAGCTGTATCGATGATGATGTATAAAGTGAGAAATTCCATGTCTTTTTTTGATTATAAAGCAGGTCTAGTTTCTACATTAATACTGGGAAAGTATCAAAGCCTCAGTCCACAGAGAAACGCACAAAGCCTGTATTCAGAAACTGAGCCTTAAAACCAGCCATCAGGATTTCTGTAACTTTGTGATGTCACAACAAAGCAGTCACCACCCTCAGCCATTTTTAATTTTTTAACTGATCACTCAGAAAACAGTCAGCCAATCAGAAGAGAGGCTCAGAGCCTGTGAAACTACATTGAGATACAAACTACATTGATAAGTTTCTCGCCAAGACTAGTATAACTTTAAATAAATACTATAACCTTGCAGTTTCTCTTTTAATAATGAATAATCAGTCTCCCTCCCACTAACCTTCTCTTTTACTATATCTCCATCTATCCTGGGTGTCATCCACCTATTGTAACCTTTAGCTCTGCTCAAATTCATTCTATCACATCTCCATTACAGCATTAGTCTATCGCCCCAATATCTCCTGTTCTCTCTGTTCCCTCATGTAAAGATGAGCTAATTTTAAGTTAACACACACACACACTGGGTGATCCACAGCTCTGTAATCATGGATGTAATGACCTGATATCACTCTCCCCGGGTTCTTTACACAGCGTCTCTCTGCTAATCTTTGGATCAGGCCACCACACAGTATTAAGAGGCTCCCTCAGCCAAAATGCAAACAGACACTTTCCCACCAGTCTTATCCCTGTAGCTCTTATCTGCACAGCCCCTCGCCCCTCCTCCAGCCCCCTCCTTCCCCCTCTAGATAAACCCCCTCTCCACTTGTACTTGTAAGTTTATCGTGTTACCCTGTCTCTAACCCCGTCGTCCTCCCACTTCACCTCCTATGACTCCTGAGCGTAAACTCACACATTCAACAAGCTGGGAGAAATGAGGATTTCTGTGTTTTATTTCTATCACCCTTTAAAATTCTATTAAACACCAAAGTGAAACTAAAAACCTCACCGCTGTTTGTCTCTCTGGTCCTCAGACTTGTTCATTGAGAGGTTTTGCATGACGGGGGGAAGCAGTCCTACTGGCTACCTGAAGGCCTGGCAGACCAACCTCTACCTGTCTGCTGACGCTGAGAAGGTCAGGGAGGCGCTGGCTGAAGGTGACGACCACACACACACACACACACCTGTGAGGACGATACAGTCTAACTTTTATAGGGTATTTGTTACTGCCGATGATGTGTATGTTATTGATCTTCCTGTATAAATGTTAATGATGTTACCCGTGGTCTGTAATTATCAAAAAATGAGGAGAATTACACTTAAGGATTCTGTAAAGAGAATACAGGAGTAAGAGATTCCTTACTACAGGTGAAGATGACATTTTGACATATTTAAATACCAACAGTCTTACTTTTAACCATTAAGAATGGTTCTAAAGTGATCAAATGATTAATTATGTCAGTTATGTTCCACTGTAAAAGCGAGTGTGATTTATATTTTATTAGTTCATTAAGTTAATTTGAATTAATTTTATTTACATTCATGATGTGTGAAAAAAATAGACTTCACAACTAAAAACGGAGACATATCCAGGGACAGCTTCAGCAAACAAGGGCGTCTGGTCACACTAAAAACCATGATATCCTGGGGGTTGGACATTAAATGAATATGCTCTCGCACAGTGTTCGACATTTTTTTTTTTTTTTTTAAGGAATAGCTTTCATGTTGTAAATTGAATCAAACAGGCCTCTGGTTTCAGAGACCTTGATGAGGCTTTACTCAGGTGCCGAACAACCAATTTAGATTTTGTAAACTTGACCATAGCCAGGACAGTAGTGTCCATGCAGCAACAACTGTTTTATCAAGTTTTAGTTCATTTATTTTACATACAACTGCACTGCAGGTGACAAAGCTGCAGTGCAGTTGGAGAATATCTTTCCTTCCAGGCATCCACTGATTTTCATTCATTTCCCTTATTGCAAAGAAATGTATTTTGCACAGACATAAACTTGCTTCACATTGGTAATTCATCACAGCAAACATCATGGCTGCTTGGTTTTACTGTTGTCTATGTAATTATAAGTGTAAGTGCAGAATAATTTAATAGTCTAGGAAAGTGGTTGGCAGATTTGTCAGATTTATTCGATGTCAGATTAATGGAATAAAACTCTGGTCCTGCCTTTAAACTGCAATGTAAAAGGCAACACACACACACACACACACACACACACACACACACACACACACACACACACACACACACACACACACACACACACACACACACACACAAAGCTCACTGTTCTGGATGTATACATTGTGATTTTTTTCCCCTCCTGTTTGCATAATAAGTACCACTGACTGACATGTTCTCCAACGCTGCAGTGACATTACCATAAATCACCATATTGATATTTTCCTCTCTTTGTATTTGCTTGATTGACTCCTGCGTGTCACAGCATATCAAGACACACACTAAAGGGAACAGCTGTAGGAAGTAACATCCCATTTGCTCTGTCTGTAGCTCTGAGTGTGTATCAATATTTGAAAACATGTGGCTTCTCTCTGCCAAAGAAATACAGGATGGTAATACGCTCAGCTGACAAGGAGCTGGGAACAGAATATACTGATGTGAAATTTTTGGGACTTAAAGTGACAACCGCTTCGGAAGATTTAAATTTGTTCAGTGCTGAACATTTCATGCTGCATTATTACTGCTGTCAAAGAGGAATAAAACACAGTGAAATAGGCGGACTACGGTGGCCCTGAGAGCTCAATGCACTGCGAGTAATACAAAACAAGCAAATTCACACATCTTCATCAATTTGACAACACACATGCTGCAAATTACACACAACACATCCAAACACAGAAACGTGCACTATACACAATACACTTGCTGTTCAATGCTTTGTGACTTATGGAGTTAAAAGCATTGAACAACAAGTGCGTCCCACACGGGTGCAGTCTTGCAGCCCGTTTTCTGTATTTGCTTTTGTTGATTTGTTGTGTGTATTTGCCTGTGTCTTCTTCAGCTGCAGTGCCAGGTTAAAAAAAAAACCCTAAACACAAAGGATGAAACCAGTTTCAAACTAATTTAAAAGCAAGATTTGAATTGGATTAGTTGACCCAGAATGTTCGATATTTTCCAGATTTCCACTTTCTCACTGTAAGAACCAGAAAACAACCGACTGTTTCTTCTGTCTCTGTGTATGTTGAGGCCAGAGGGAAAACTAGAAGAGTGCTGACACACACACACACAACGTGACCACAAACCTCTCAAGGTGACTTCGGGGACGTTCTTCATGTGACTTACAAGCTTAAGGTCACTAATGACGAGACTCTGTGGGAAGCACACGCCCACCATCAATCGGCCTCTTCTCTCTCTCACACACACACACACACACACCACACACACGACACTGACACACACTATCAGCACACACATGAATCAACAACACTACACACACACACACACACACACACACACACACACACACACACACACACACACACACACACACACACACACAGTCAAGCAAAGGAAGTGTCCTTGACATTTAACTCGAAAGGTTTTAATTAGTTTCAAAGCCATTTATTAATACTTCCTGTATGCTGCCACTATAAGTATATGTTTTTTTAATAGCACTGCAGCCGAGTGTGAAAACCGTCCTCATTCATTCTAGCTGTAGCAGGAAATGAAGTGGTGAACTGAAGTGAACTGCATTTCCTGTGTTTCTCTTCACTTGACAACCAGCACAGTCTCATCGTTTTACCATCCACGGTGAGGAGTCCAAAATATTTCTCAGATCCATTTTGCCAATATGGCATCCGATAGGTCAAACTGATTGTGGACGCCCTCTGCTGGACCAGAGGGCAAACTACTTCAAACGCTTTGTTGTGCTTATAAACTAAATTTTGAATTCAAAAAGGTTATACAGTTTCAATATTTAAGTTAATTTTCCCACTTCTGACTAAAGTTCAAATTTTGAATAAAAAGTATTTGCAGGTATCAGAGTCTGTCAGTCAGTCTCTTGCTTTGGGTTAGTGTTAGAAGTGATAAATTAGGGTTAGGATTAGGGATTAGTTAGTGATAAAAGTGATTCTGATCCAATCAACATGTGTTTATCTACATGTATTAAAGTGTCTATGGCTTTGATTTTGAGTGAAGTGAAATGAAAGTGAAGTAAAGAAAGACGAAGCAAAGTTTGTACAACTTCCGTGCCTTCAGCTAATGTACTGCTGAACACATTATTACCAATATCTCTCCGTGTGTTTGTGTTCAGGCATCGCAGCAGCCACAATGTTCATGCCAGAGAAGCAGTCGGAGGTATCGGAGACCCAGCTGAGGGTGGCGTTTGATGGTGACGCCGTCCTATTCTCTGATGAGTCAGAGCGTATCTTCAAGGCCCACGGCCTGGACAAGTTCTTTGAACACGAGAGGGAAAACGAGGACACGCTATTGGATCATGTGTGTAGTTTTTATTGGAAATGTCTAGGGGACAACTTCCCTCCCGAACAGTAGCTAATGTGCTGATGTACCTCAGGCTAAATAATCATGAGTGCAAATTGCATTTCACTCTTTCCAAGAAAGGATCAGGTTTGTTTTTTGTTTTTTTTTGTCATTTATTATTAAAAAGTAAAACGAGGCTATAATAGAAACAGAGGCGACAAACGGTAGGCGGGTTTTAAACCCTGATCTCCTCTGCAGTCTTAACACTGCCATTTCCACGTAGCCCTAATCACCTGTGAATAATTATGCAGATGTTCACGATATAATATCCATTTCATTAATTGATTATTCTATGAATAAATTATGCAAAATGATAAATGATATGATAGGATGATAAATGGTTTCAAAACGCTGTCAGTTGGTGTGTGATTCTGTCAGACAGCCAGCAATTTATAAACTCAGCTTGTGCAGGCTTCATACTGTGCTATATTAAAATAAAATGGTGCTAATTTAATCAAGGTTTGCTTGTGCCGCATGCACTTAAAGATGTGGCATGACAAAGCAATAACAACTAATGATGCATAAAATACACAAAACACGACACTGCAACACGAGGGAACACACAATCTCACCAGCTCTGCTTTATCATCATCTGTTCCTCTCCTGCAGGGTCCCCTGAAGGGCTTCCTGGAGGCACTGGGGAAGCTCCAGAAAAAGTTTTATGCTAAAGGCCACCGCCTGGACTGTCCCATCCGGACTTTCTTGGTGACAGCTCGTAGCGCAGCCAGCTCTGGGATTCGGGCACTGAAGACGCTCAGGGCCTGGGGCTTGGAGATCGACGAGGCCTTGTTCCTAGCAGGAGCACCGAAGGGCCCCATGCTGGAGAAGATCAGGCCACACATCTACTTCGATGATCAGATGTTTCATGTGGAGGGAGCAGCAGAGATGGGCACCATCGCTGCCCATGTGCCCTATGGCATTGCACAGAAACATAACCTCAAACAGAAAACCAGTGCGGGGAAGTAGACAGCAGGACTTCAGGTGCCAATGGTACAGTCATTCAGCCAGAAACGGAACAAGAGAAGAAGGATGGGATGGAGAAAGTTTGGAGAGTTTGCAAAGATGAACTTGTACTGTATTGTATGTGGAAATGCATCATTTCCACACTGTAGCATTTGTATTGTAAGTCTGTTTTATCAAACTGTCTCAGCTTAATGCTATCATCTTAGGAGTTAGACACAGGTCTGGATAGAGGTCAGGTAGAGGTCTGGAACCTGAGATGATGTTTCAAAGCCTCAATGTACTCAATACTGAAGTGTTTTGTCGGATCTCTCTTTATATGCAGGGGTGCACATAACTGTTTTGGTCTGGTTCTCCAGGGAGCACCTGTAGATGTTGCTTGGTATGCAGCACAGTTATCCTACTACCCTCCTGACTGCTCTCCTCACTATCTCCATCTGTGGTAGGTGATGATGTAGGCCTACTTCTTTAAGTGGATGTGCATCAGGAATGGGAGGCAAGAGTCTGACAGGCACGATCGGCACTTACTTGATGTGAAAATTCACATGCATCTACTTAAAAAAGAAGGCTAAAAGCTACACAACAACTGATTACTAACATTAAAGGGGCTACCTGTAAGTTTTGCTATTGCTACATAGCCAGTGTTAGCATTAACAGCTGTTTACTTACTAAGAAACTGTGCGAGTTCAGAATCAAACTTCATTGCTTTACTCTCTAAGAGCTGTCTCCAGAGGTGGAAAGCAACGCCAATGTTAACTCACGTCTTTTCTTCCACTGAAGATAGCATGCTAACCAGCTAGCCCCTGCTAGTCTCGTCACTTTCTGATAGCGACTCACTGTAGCCTCCAATCTGCCCCTGAAGACGTAGCGCTGCTCAGAGTGCGTATTATAACCTTTTGTCTTGTAAACCCCAATGCTGGCTGAAGTTATTTTCAGACGACAATCACCACCACCCACTCCAAGCAAGAAACTACATTCGGCAGCAGAGAAAACTTAAAAATAGCCCCTTTAACACATTTGTCATAATCTTACCAGTAATGTGTGGAAAAATCCTAATGTTTCGGTCATTAACTGTGTCCCAAAAACACCAAACCCAAAAGTGTTGGTACGCAAAAACACCTCTTTTGCTATCATCTGCTGCGCATCCTTTATTTCGACTATGCTGCCCACCAGTTATGTGCACCCCTGTTTATATGGGAATTTCAAAAGGTGCTTGATTGCCGCGGTGACCTAACTCTGTTTCACTCACTACCACTCATCTTCATAAAGATGACACCTCTTCAGTGTTTGCTGGAGGATACTGAATGAATAGATTCACTGACTCCTGTTCAAGTAAAGCACAGAGACTGAACTATATGCTGTTGACAAATGAGCCATAAGAACAATGCAGTGATATTATAAGGTTTAAAGTTATAGTGATGTGCTGTAGCATGAGAGTCATAATTTAAAGTTTAAGTGTCAATCGTTTCACAGAGTTTGTTTGGAACTATACAAACTGTATTGTATATTACTGAAGATAGCGATATAATCTACTGTTGTGTTAGTGCAGAACAAATAGATGAAGCCATAAGTTTCAGTTGGTGCCTTAGTTTCAACAAAGACACTATTTTCAGCCATGTGGAGCAGCACTTGGGTCCTCGACAACTGTTGGATGCAACGCCATTGAATTCAGTAGAGTACAGACATTAATGGTCCCCAAAATTCACAATTTATCTGCATCGCCGTTAGCATGTTGGTGTTCTCAAAGCCCATCCGAGCCTATGTGCACCTGAGGCTAACAAAATACTTGGTAGACTGATTAAAGTCGATTGAGTTCTGTTCTGAAATGTTCCTAAAATATTGTTGCTCTTGATGTGTATAACAACTTGACTTTGCTCGCTCAGGCCAATAGTTTTACTCAACTCGTGGTAAGCAAAGTAAAGTTTTATACTCCATCCATATTACCATATCCAACAAAAGTTTAAAGTTAATTAAAGTCTAGGGCCTAGCATGGCTTGTCTTGTTTAAAGATCCCATATTTTTCTCTTCTCCTGTGTTTTATTTGAAGTGCTGATTCATCAGAAGATATATTTGTGGTTTTAAAAACCAAAAACCATCTCAATGTTATTTTACATCTCATATCTCAGGCACAACAGGTCGGTGAGCAAATCAGAAGAGAGGATCTGAGCCTGGGGGGGGGCAGTGACTGCTTTGTTGTGACATCACAAAGCTACAAAAGTCCTGACAGCCCGTTTGAAGGCTCAGTTTCTGAATATGAGCTGTGTGCATTTCTCTGTGGACTGAGCGCTTTGATACTTTCATAGTATTAATATAGAACCTAGACCTGCTTTAGAATCAAACAACACATGGAAATCTCACTTCATACTACATGGGACCTTTAAAAGTCAACCTGGTAGCAAGTGAAAGGTGTTGTGGTTCCTCAAAATAGTACACAGATGTGATTTTACCGCCCTCTCCTGTATGCAAAGGCTAATACAAAGTTTCACACTGCTAAGATGGTGATTGATGTTGTAAAATGTACCCAATTTAACAGCATCTGGCAATCAATGCCCAATTGGCAATCAATAACTAATTATCAGTATGATTTATGTGCAATTGAAAAACATGAATTTTTCGTTCATTGGCAAAATGGCTGCAGTGGCCTTTTGAAAATGTCAGTGCACTTCACCTCGCTCTGTTACTGCTGGCAGGGCCCAGGAAATCTTCCACCTAGTGTATATTTAGCAACGCTTCATTACGCCTCATCAGGCTCCCGAGGACCACAGAGACAAGCATTTTCACAGCCAAAACACATAATTGAACAGATGCGTCTTTTGGCAGGCGTTTGCCCTAAAATGACGGCTGAGTTGTCGGAGGATGAAGTTTCAGCCGGGTGATCTAATCAGCCGGGCGGTTTGGACTTTAGGGTGACATTCAGGAGAACATTAATAAGCAATGTACGAACATTTCAACTACAAGTTTACGACGACTACAGAAAAAATGGCTTTGCAATAAGAAAATGTAAATGAACAATAAATAAATAAAAAACATTACAGTGCTTGTATTTACTCATTAATGAAAACAGCCACAGACTGAATGACGTCTACAAAGAAGATAAACACAGAGGTCCTGTATGAGGAGTCACTGATGTGCACTCCTTCGGTCCACCATTAAGTGGCAGCACCAGAGTGATAAATGATCTGCTGCAGCAACTGGTCTTCAGTCATCACATGTTGTTTTTATTCAGGATGAAAAATGATTAGCAGCTTCATCCACGTTAAAGTTACTTATATATATTTCTTCATTCCTTTCATATTTCTTCTCCATTCTCCACTCTAATATTTCACTCTCTTCACATTGAGCAGAATCACATTACTACCCACACTTTCCTTCCCCAATCCACATATCTATGATAAATGGGTTAATATTCCCAATCATTCAGAGCTGAATTGGATCTTCCCAGCAGAGTCTGGGTGATAAAAGCCAGAAAGCACCAACATCCAGCGCTGGTCTACCTGGCGCCGTATTGCTAACAACACCACAGGGACGGGCCCTGCTGGTAATCGCTGATGGATTGACATTGGTGTGGATTTTATAAGCTCTAAAACAGCAGCGAGATGATGTCTCCGGCAACATACAGTGGCGTTGCAGGGGGCAGAGAGATGAGACTCTGCAAAGCCTATGCACGGTTCATAATGGCACACATGCGCAGAATGCCAGCTGTATCCATAAACTGGCAATAAGCATCATTGCGGATGGAGAGTAGTGAAAGAGAATGCCAGATTGAGACAGCGCCTGGGGACTGAGATGACCATAACAACTCACAATCCTGCATCTTACAGATACAGTCAGTGGATAATTGCTGGAACGAGCTCAAGTGAAGTACCGGAGGAAATTGCTGAGGTGTATTTTCATTTCATTCATCACAACTGCTTCTCTTCTTCAAAAATCAGGAGTGCAAAGGAAAAGAAACACAGCAGATTCTCCAGAGGAGAGGAGCAATTTCACAGATGAGGGATATGTTCCACTGACAAGCGATTGATGACCAAATGGGAGACGTTATGTAACAGCCCATAAGCTCAAATATAAGCTGTCTTACTGCCAGATGTGACCTACAGAGCAGAGGCTGAGCGGTGCTTGGGGGGGGGGGGATAACAGTGCGGGATAACAACACAATAAAGAAAGACAGAGCAGAAAGAGAGAGAGAGAGACAGATGGGCTTGCCCCAAAGACACAGATATGAGGAGTGTTGTTTTCCTTCTGCTCAGTTACAAAGCGGAGTGGCACCCGTGGAGGGAAAAGATGGGTGACTCACTCAGTCTTGGCAGAGCCGCTGGTCAGACTCAGTGGGACTCGTGTCCCGTGTGAGACCAGTAACACACAATGTTTTTCATCTGATCACTTGTTTTTTGTCTGCCATACACTCCGTAGCTCCTTAAGCTCTGAACGCACATGCTTTTCTGAAAAGTGCTGCAAAGTTTTTAACGAGCTATTGAGCTGTCAACACCTTTCAGGAGGCTCCTCTCTCTCTCTCTCTCCCTCTCTCTCTCTCTCTCTCAAGTGTTACTCTCTAAAAGTGAAAAGGAAGCGGTGAGAGTTAATAACCTGGCTCGAGGATGTTAACTTAACATTTAAACCCTCCATCAGATTTGTAATGTGCAGTATCCTTGTTGAAATCAATAGACCGCCGCTTCAAAAAGTGTGTGTGTGTGTGAGTGTATTGGCGTTGGTATTCATTAACTCATCACAGACTGCATTTCAGAGAAGCAGCTGGTGACAGGAATGTAATGTGTGTGTGTGTGTGTGTGTGTGTGTGTGTGTGTGTCTTTATTTGGGCTATCTGTGTGTTAGGACTGAGGAGCTGAAATTACAACTCAACTCAAGAAACAAATAACAGCTGCTGCTGATTAAAGGATAAATCTGGTGCATTTTTCATGTTGTGAACCAAGTGCCGTGACAAAACTCTAATGAACTCTAATGAACTTCGGGCGCTGTAGTTTATTTTTGAGTTAATCCGTCAGTCCTGCTGCTGTAAATATTCACCAAATGTGCATTAATCCACCGTTAAAAGTGCGTTAGAGCTGAAAACTACAGCACCCAGCTGTTTTAGCAAATTACTAAGCTTTTAATTTTTTTTTTTTTAAATTGAAACAACATATTCATGAGATTTTTATTATTATTATTATTGTTATTTGTCTTTTTGTTATTTGCCTTTATTGGATAGTGACAGGGAAAGAGAGCAGGAAATGACGTGCATGTTAATCACTCAGCTACCACACTCCATTGGTTTTCTGGGTTGGTTTGTTTGGGGTTTTTTTTAATGCATAATATAATCTTCATTAATCCCAGAGCCACAGCGGGGGAAAACAAATTGATTAATTAAATCATTTCCATTTCATCAGATTTTTTATTGCAGATTTTAGAGAAACAAATAGTTGAGATTATGTAATCATATGACAAAAGACACTGTAGGGACCATTATTTTCTAACAAAAAAAGTGAGCCAGTAAGTTTTTAATAAGGCACTGAAAGCTCCAAAATGGTGTAATGGGTTACTGGCTCCCAGAACAAACTGTTTTACTGTCTGAGTCACAGACTTATTTCAGGCGTTTTAATCAAATTCTCAGTGTTCAACTGAAGGAACACCTCGTTCAATAGGTGAATCGTGAGCTCCCCTGCAGACCTCGTTTCTATGCACTTTCTGCCCCATTTTTAAAATCACAGTAAAAAAAAAACAAAACAAAAAAAAAAACCACCGGCTACCAAACAACACCCACCTCCGAATATA